TTATCGCACCGGCGATAGGCTGTTCAGCGGCAGAAGCGGAAGCTGAAATCGAGGTGGTCTATCGATCATACTCAAAATACATAAAACGGAATAACCTGCCGGGTGAAATTGTCGTTAAGTTTCTCCGAAGACAAACGAGGGATGATATCCTGAAAGCAACAGCAGCTAATCCCCTGCAGCTGGGATCTGCAACTATCAGAGTTTTAAAAGATGTTCCATTCGAGGTTCGTGATAAAAGAAAAGCCTATAAAGAGCTGATTTCAACATTGCAGATCAACCAAATTTCGTATTCCTGGAATTTCCCGGAGGGTGTCGTGTTTAAATACAGAGACAAAAGGGAAAAAATTGACTCGGTTCTTAAAGCAGAAGAATGGTTGAAGTGGTTTTTCGGATCGAAGGAGGAAGAACAGCAAGAAGGAGGGGGCGGAGCAGTCACCATAGAAGACAGGGACAACGACCAAGGAGCATCAGGTGGCAAGGCCAAAGAGACATATGATTTGCGGCTTAGAAGACCAAAGTAACTCTTTGGAGACTTGAAACTTGCAAACAGGGATGAAAGAACTCTTTGCACACACAGAAGATGATGGAGAAGACACTAACATGGACTTACTAATTTCCGATTACATTGACTTAAACAAAAAACTTTTAAATTTTGAATACTAACAGAATACTAACTGTTAACAACCCTCTCTCTTGGGATTTTAGTCATAGTGTGGGTTTTTATTTTCTGTCCTTTATCCTGGGGTAACTTTTCCCTTCCCTTTTTTCTTTTCTGTAGTGTTTAGGTGTAACAAAAAAATAATAAAGCTACCCTGCTCGCAGGGGATTTTTTTTAAAAAAAGCAAAGCTAATTTAATTTTTAGTGGATATTTTTAACAAACCTGATAAACCAAATAAAATCAGCTTTCCCAAGTTTTTTTTTTTAATTGGGGTTGGAAAAACCTTTAAAAATAGTGGTTGCAAACTGACTTTCCCCTTGACGTTATTGTAAATTTAACCAACCCTGTATGTCAGGGGTCAGGAAGAAGATTCCACATCAGAGTGTGCAGATCTGCAGCAGGCCTGTACCGCATCTTTTCTGGTAACAATTAAGCTAGGGGTCTACAGTGTAGCGCCTATGGGAGCCACGGTGCCTGCCGCCACCTTTCTCAGTTCCCACAAAATGCTTCAGAAGGTGGGTGGGGCAAGTGAGGTTCTTGCCCAGCAGGGCTTCTGATTGGCCAATGAAGATCTGATTGGCTATGCAAATTAAAATAACATTCTTTAGCAGCTGCCACTATAGTGTTTGTTTTATTCTCCTTCACTCTTCTTTGTATATTTTTTTAATCTGCCTCTTCTCCCCTGCAGAGTCTTAAGTGACTGATGGGATCCAGTGCTGATCATTGCCTAGATGGTCCTCCCTACTGTCTTTGTATTCTCATTCTTTAAACATAACTACATATCTTTAAACACTATGTCCTTTGTACCATCCTGACAAAGTCATAGTCACAATGGTTTGACCCTCCTGGCATAAACATGTGTTTGTCTTGGGTACAGAACTCTGTTTCTGTTGTGTAACTATTAGTAACTACTACTACTACTACTACTGTAACTATTATTACTATTACTATAGCATCTATTAGTACTATTATTACCACGTAATAATATATATAATATATATAATTATATAAGGAAGGCCGAGCGCCGAAGAATAGATTCTTTTGAACTATGGTGCTGGAGAAGACTCTTGAGAGTCCCTTGGACTGCAAGAAGATCAAATCAGTCAATCCTAAAAGAAATCAACCCTGACTGTTCCCTGGAAGGCCAGATAATGAAACTGAAGCTCAAATACTTTGGCCACCAAATGAGAAGGGAGCACTCACTGGAGAAGACCCTGATGCTGGGAAAGACTGAAGGTCAAAGAAGACGGGGACGGCAAAGGATGAGATGGTTAGACAGTGTCATAGATGCAACGAACATGAAATTGAGCCAACTTCAGAGGACAGCGGAAGACAGGAGGGCCTGGCGGGATCTGGTCCATGGGGTCGCGAAGAGTCGGACTCGACTGTGCGACTGAACAACAAAATGATTCCAGAATTTATTCTAGACCATCTTTAATAGCCCAGCTTAGCCTGAGCTTGTCAGAACTTGGAAACTAAGCAGGGCTGGCCATGGATAGTATTTGCATGGGAGATCACCAAGGAAGTTGCTAAGCAGAGGAAGGCAATGGCTAACCACCTCCACTCATCTCTCACCTGGAACGACCTGTGGATGGGGTTGCTATGAGTTGCTTGCAACTTGAAAGCATCTTTATTCTTCAACTATTCTAGAGACTGAGTTCTCACAAGGACTTCCCTACTTCTACTCTTATAGCCCTTCTGTCTGTCACAATTTTTACAAATTTCCAGTTTTATAAACACTGAAATGAGAAACCATCTCCTTTCGTAGGACAAGTATTGAATTTATTAGTAAACCTAAGTCACTAACTTTTTGTTGATACATTGTTTTCTAAAATTCTTGTTGAAGGTCGATTTGAGTTTTGGAAAAGTGAAATATAAATGTTTTTAATTAGTTAAATAGGTTATAATATTGTACCAGAAATATATTCATTGTTAGGATTTGTATTTCCTTTTCTTTAATTCTGAATTATTACGCAATGACATGGACAGACAAGCAAACCATTACAAGAACAACAGTCTGGGTTTCTTTGTTTTTACCTTTAATCCAACTTTCCCAGGCAATCCTGGCAAACCTTGATCACCAGTTGGTCCCTGCAGAAAGTAATTGTTTCAATATGGATTTCATATAGAACTTAAAAGACTTTGGTACGTGCCATCCCAGGGTTCTGATTTTATTTGAAACAGTACTGAATTTGGAAATGTTGCATTGGTATACAGGGCTTGTGTCAGGATACCCTGAGGTGGGGCCCAGGGCTTCTGGTGGCCCACTGCCACTGACCATGTGCCTACCATGCTGCCTACCTGCTTGCTTGCTTGCAAGTACTCTGACATCCATTTTTTAAGCAAGGAGACATTCAGAGCAAGAATTCTTCATCCACAATATAGTCCATTCTATCACTGCAGAACTCTGCCACATTATTACATTGCATTACACATTTCCACATCATTCTCCTGCATGTGTGAACTACACTTTGGTTTGTGAGAAGAGGCTCTTCTGCCCTGTATTGCCCCTTCCCCCAACCCTGTACTGAGACACCATCCAGTGCTGATGGAGAATAAAATACAGAATACCATTTCATTTGCTAGCATCTTAAGGTCTTTCAAAGCCTTGACCTGACATGATCACCACTACCACTTCTACACTTATTTATTTGTTTATCTCCTCCAGAGTGCTCATTCTCCCCTCCTCCATTTTGTCCTCACAATAACCCTTTGACATATGCTGGGCTGAGAGGGTAGGACTGGCCTTAGCATCACCCATTGAGTTTCATGGGGAATAGGCCTTTGAATCTGGGTCCATCCACTCCTAGTCCAGCAATCTAACTGTTACACAACACATCACTGAATGATACAAAACAACTTAAAGATGTTCTGGTTACCGGTAAGCCAGGTGGACCAGGGGTGCCATCCTTCCCAGGTTTACCCTAATTAAAAGAAAATCAAATAAAAGGAATAGGAAAAGCACCAAAAACAGTATGCCTATGATAGTTACTACTGAACAAAATAAAAAAATAATGTAAATAGTTCTTCCAATGAACAACATATTACAGTAAAGTATGATTTAATAAAGTTGAATAAATGGTAATATGTATTTGTTTAAGACATGCCACATGCCACACCTAATGGCCTACCATCAAGCCATGAAATTCATCTTTTTACTTTGGCCACCTGTCTAACATCTAAGCCCTCTTACTATAGAACAAAACACCAGTCGTTATTTTTACTTTGCCACCTTATGCATGCTGTATTTATTAGTGTATTTTAAACAATCCGAAATGTTTTAATTTGTTTAAACTGTTTTTATTGTTTTATTATTTATAAAGCCAATATGGCCTTGTTGGCTGCCCTGAGCCTACCTAGGCGGGGAGGGAGAGGTGTAAATCAAATAAATAAATAAGACATTTTATATTGCTTTTCAAGCAGTTCTGAAAGCATATGACGATGGTGACTACGATGACAACAACATGATGTTAAAATACCAAAGCAGTTAGATTACAACACTTATCATCAGGTACGTAACAGGAGAAACCAGTCCAGCAAAGAGCAAGTATAAACACTTGCCCAGCATCAGCATTCCAATTTGTCAGGCCAGATGAAATAGAAATGGCACAATGAAAAAATTAAGTCTTTATTCCCCTCCCAAAGGAAGGCAGGGAGTGTGTGCCAAGTCAACCTCATCTCAGCAAGGAGGGAATTCCAGAAATTATGAATCATCACCAACATTAAAAATCTCACACTACCAGCCTTACAAATACCTATGAACTTTTCTAATATTGCTTTGATAATACTAAATGCATTTAAATGTAAGCCTGACATTTTCTGGGGCTAATTACATTTCCACAACAGTATAGAATAGCTTTCATTTAAAAGACCTGTGCACAAAAAAAGTTTACCCACCTCAGAGCCTGAGTCTCCCTTATCTCCCTTTTCACTTTGAAAATCACCAGGTAAACCCTAAAACGAAGATCCACCAAATCAGTTTCATTTTTCTGCATCAAACATACAACCTGCATCTTCTCGTAACATTTTCACTTCTACAGCAACATCTTAAAATTGCCATCAGTAAATATTAACCATAGTTGCTGCTGCGTAATATTAGTGCACAATGTTTCAGGTTCTTGATCCCCTCCCCCAAATTTAGAATTTGAATAATTCTGAATTTTAATTAATGAAGCTTCATCCTTTAAAAATATTTACAAAACTCCTCCCAGTTCAAATTTGTCGACAGTATCTCATTCTGCACACCATCCTTTTCAGCTGAGATCTATTGACTCATCTGTAGTACTACAACCATCTGGGCCTAACTACATGTTACATCATCTTCAAGTTCTGTCTGGCTGTATCTATTGTTGTAAAATAGTCAAAAGTATTTAAAATACTCAGAGTATCGATGGATCTTGCTCTATTGGAAAGAAGAGATTTCTTTGCTTTTAAAAACCTTTATTTCTAAGGGTAAAAGGTATACAGGAAACCTACAAATAAACAGAACATCTAGGAGCTACATTTTCTAAGCTGCCTACAGTTCAACCATTGTTACACACAGAGACAGATAATGGAGAATCTGTCCTTCTTCTCGATCCCTAGAAAGGAAGTCACCTGGAACAAACAACCAATCACTTATCACAACAGAAGTTACTTTTCCCGGCTAATCCCCCATTGGCTCTATTGCCAGATTTCCCTTCCAGGTCAGTCTAAACAATAGCAATACTAGGTAGACAAGTTAACCCTATAATGACTGGATTGTCAGACCTTGTAAACACATACATTTCCAACATCTATCAGATATGTGCTGCAGTTTTCATGCTCAGAACTCAGTTCACAGGGATGTGGGGGCCTAGCTTGGAGCCAGACCATCACACAGGGAGAGAGGGCTTAAGCATTTCCCAACCTGAAACAGCCCCAGAATGCTGCTGTTTGCCCCATTGGGGAGATTTACTTATACTGATGTTGGTTTCCTCAGTGGTGCAAATACTGGTTCCCAAGGCTTAAGTCTTCATTCTCCACACATCATGGTCCCTATTCAAATCAGGTCCCCTCATAATTGGGAGCTGGGTTCTAAGCATTAAACAACTAGACCTTGCCTGTTCACCATACTCTGGATCAGAGGTGTCAAACATGCAGCCCACGGGCTGGATCAGGTCCCCGAAGGGCTTCTATCAGACCCGCAGTGGAACTGGCTGTCTCTTGCTTCTTCCAGTTCTGCTGCTGCTGCTGCATCGTAGCTTGCTTTGCCAGATTCTCTCAATCACTCAGGGGAAATAGATAGGCAAGCTTCTGTTCCCTGCATTGGCTGAGGCTCCTCTCCCTCCCAGGCTTGGTTTGCTTGGCTGCCTCATTTACACAGAAGAAATACAAAGCACCTTTAAGACCAACAAAGTTTTATCCAAGGTATGAGCTTTTGTTGGGCTTGTTATGCAGTGGCTCTTCTGGGTGCAACTGGGTTCCCTCCCCCTTTTCACTGTATTCACACCCTCATGATCCAATCTTTCTCAGTAGGAAAGCCATGTGAACTATTTAGATGAGGAACAACAACAAGTCAGTGAGGTGGATTAAGCTGAGAGTGTGTGTCCAGATCAAGTTCACCCAGCACATTTTCTTTGGGGATTTGAACTTAGACATCCCAGATAGTAGGCTGATACTAACCACTGAGGAAGACTATAGTTTTGTAGACAAACACATAGCCCTCAGTCTGTGTCATGTTGCCTTCTCATGTTCTTGACCAGCACACAAAGCAATATGTCCAATGTTTTCCCCTCGGTCCTAGGCTCAGAACTCTGAGCATGAGATTTCTGTAGTGAATGTCAATAAATCAAACGTAGGTTTGCAGCTTACAGATACACAGTTGAACAGCATACTCAAGATTGCAACAGCACAGACATTTTGATGCAGTAATTCAGAGCAAGAGGTGTCAGTTATCAGACACTGTTAACAAAATATTGCAAGAATGCTAATGTTTTAAGCATTTTTTAATTTTAAAATATCTTTGTGTTTGTGTCCGTTATAAAGTTTATATCTCTGCTACCTGGCATTACATTTTATGACACACATGGCCTGTCCCAACAAGGTCTCATTTATGTTAGATCCATAACAAATGTTTGATACCCTGCTCTGGATGGTGCTTGAAAATAAGCCGGAGATACAGCGGTGAAATATCGAAGTGACCACTAGGTGGAACATAACACAAATGAGGAAATAACATGTGCAGAAAGGCCCTAAATCCTGGAGTGGACTAGGGCAGTCTAAAACACTAAAGGAACAGAGTTGTCAAAAATAACACAAAAACTTACTAATTCTCCTGGTGGTCCAGCAAGTCCCCGAGATCCCCTGTCTCCTTTATCTCCTTTTAATTCCTGCCACAAAAATATTAAAACTGGTGGTAATTCAATGGATCCAGGAAAGGGTTGTGTACTTATTGAAAACACAATGGCTGAGGAAGAGAAACAAGCAAAACGCCAACAGCACATATGCTAAAATGAACCCAACAGTACAATAGAAAGGCACAAAGGCAGCTTACTTCTTCTATTGTCACCATCTTTTAAAAATCTGCCCATTCCCCAGAAGGAGGGCTATGTTTTACAGCTTCCCTACTTGTAAAGATCAGTTCAGCATAAGAAGTGTCAATTTAAAAACTCACAGGAAAAAAAGTGAATGGGGAGAGCTGGTGTGGTGTCATAGTTTGAGTGGCAAACTAGAACCTTGGGACAAGTGGGTTTTAATCCCTCCTCTGACATGGAAGCTCATAAAATGACCTTGAACCCAACACAATCTTGCAGCCTAATCTACCTCACAGGGTTGTTGCCATGAGGTTAAAGTGGAGGAAGGAAGAACAATCTGATAACTGCTTTGGGTTCCCATGAAGAAAAAGAGTGGGTTATAATAATAAAAAAGATAGTCCTCCAGCTTGTTTGCCAACCTGCTGAGAGTTGGAGGGATTACTGGGGACAACTGCTGCTAACCCCAAGATTCCCATGAAGTACAGAAGCAATGTTAGTGCTGGGAAATCCTATGCTACAACATTCCTGATTTTCCAAGTCCTCAGAGCCTTGTAACTCTTCCTTCTGTTTCTTGCTGTGTCATGCAGAAATATGGATGGCTGGGATGAAAATCCCAACACCTATTGCAAGCAGGGCTATTTTGGGGCAGGAACGCACAGGAACGGAGTTCCGGCTGGCTTCAGAGTTGGCCACGCCCACTACAGCGAAAACCTCTGCGTGCAAGGCTACAGAGGGAAGGCCTGGAGCACCCCCCCCCAGCGATTCTGAGGCGGGGGGGCGGGGGCCCCCTGGAACGGTCGGGGAGGCATTTAAATGCCTCCATGCCTTCCCTGGCCTGTCCAAGGGCCAGCTTGCCTGGGTTCCCCGCAGCCACGGGGCGCTCGGGTAGGCCAAGGAAAGACAGTTTAAACTGCCTTCCCTTCGCTCCAAGAGGGGGCTTGCCCAGGCTCCCTGCAGCTGTGCCCCCCCCCCGGGGAAGCCAAGGGAAGCCATGGGGTGTGGCCTAATATGCTAATGAGCTGTGCTGTCACGGTGTGGCCTAATATGCTAATGAGTTTCTGTTGTTGGGTGTGGCCTATTATGCTAAGGCGTTTCTGCTGGGCTTTTTCTACAAAAAAAGCCCTGATTGCAAGTATTTCTGATAAATTACAGTGCAATCCCAAACAGAGTTATACCCTTCTACACCATCAGGTTTAAACAGACTTAGAAAGGTGTAACTTTGCTCAGGACTGCACTGCTAGCATTTGTTGTAAATGTATTTATTTATTTAATGTATTTATTTTATTAGACTTATATCCCACCTTCCCCATGTTGTAGGCTCAAGGTGGGTTCCAGACATATAGACCTGCAGCTAGTGCAGATTTACAATAAAATAGTGCAGATTTACAATAAAAACTAATTATACTACCGTTGTATTTTCAGCTCCAGTTAGTGTTACAATAACAGTTCCAGGTGGTCCAGGGGGGCCCATTAATCCACTGTCACCCTGTCATTAAAAAGAAAAACGGTTGGAGTTAATGAGAACTACTACTGTATATGATTACAGCAGCTAGGAAGGTATCTGTTAAAACAAGTGTGGCTTAAGAAAGGTACACATAATAGAACAATGGGAAAATAAGTAATAAAATACTCTTTTTTGGCAAAGCAATAGACAACATGAAAATCAAAGAAGGCTGAAATGAAAACAGATTTACTGAAAACGTGTAACTGGTTATAAGAATAGCAGAGCACATCTCTCTCTCTGTGTTCCTAAACAACTTAATAGAGTTGTTGTGAGGGTAAAATGGAGAAGGAAAAGGGAAAAGTGACATATGGGAGAGATAAAAATGTACTAAATAAAATAATTATAAGTGACAAAAAATGCTGAACCTGTTCAAGAAACCATGTGACTTTTAAATTTTACAATTAACTACTTTCCCAGCATTTAAAAAAATTGCTTTTACTCCCTAATAAAGACTTTGTAGGCAGGTATAACCTAATTAAAACATTCTGTTCAAAATGTTTCTGAAAGATCTAAATATGTACATTGTAACGGTATAATAATGGATTTGCTTAAACTGGAAATGTTCACCATGAGCAGAATTTGGCCATAAACATCTAAAAATGACTCCTATGTAAAGTACATAGGAAAATCTACCATTTTCTAGCACAGAGACTGTTCAACTGATCTGAATAAGTGAGGTATTGTTCTGGTCTCATTAATGCAAATATAAAACAAATGCATTCTTATTTAATTTAGGCAAGGAAGGTTTTGGAAAGGCTCTCCTCTTACTCTAGAATAGCCAGATATCTAAGCCTTGGTGCTCTGTGAAATCACAGATATTTATGCTCCATCAGCTGAGTCAATGATATCATGACATTAGTTGCTGTAGATTTTCCGGGATGTGTGGCCGTGGTCTTGGTATTGTAGAACCTGACGTTTTGCCAGTAAACTGGCATCCTCAGAGGTATAAACACAGAAAGATGGAACACTCTTGACACAGAGAGTATTCCATCTTTCTGTGTTTATACCTCTGAGGATGCCAGTCACAGTTACTGGCGAAACGTCAGGTTCTACAATGCCAAGACCACGGCCACACATCCCGGGAAATCTATAGCAACTAATGAACTCTGGCCGTGAAAGCCTTCGACAACATATTGATATCATGACACTTGGACAGCTCATTTGCAAGAGGAACAAACTGTGCCACGTCAAGTAGAGTTACACTGTTCTAGACCCATTGACTTCAGTGGATTTATATGGGTGTTACTCTGCTTAGGATGGCACTAAAAGACACTGCTGTGGTATCAGATGATCTGTGCAGAACTCAAGTGAAATAACTGATTCAGATTTCCAGAGATCCATTTATACAGAATAAAATTTGAATAATGTCACAGAAGAGGCACAATGGCAGGAAGTACTGCAAGTATGGATACTTACAAGCTCTCAGTGGCCAGCTAAACAAAAAGAAATCACATTCATATAGAATTACCTTTCGACCTTTAGCTCCAATGGTTTTAACACCCATGAGACCCTGCAAAAGAAATGTGTCTTCATATTTTTTTCTCCAAACCACACAATATAAGAAATTCAACATTTTTCATTCATATCAGATTCAAAGAATACCTTGGGCCCTGGCGATCCTGGTTTTCCTTGTTCTCCCTAAGAAGCAAAAAACAAGAAAAAACACAGATTAAAGGCATTCAGTCCTTTACCTGAACTTTATTATGTTCCAGTTGCAAGGACAAATAGGCAGTGAGGTGCCCTAATAACTACCTACAATTTACTTCAAGCATGACAAAACTACATAAAATGTATTTTTGAAAATATTAATACTGGTAATAAATATAGTTTAATAAGCAAATAAGATTTTAAGTCAGTTATTGCTCTGTCATAGTCTGGGATTTGATTTTTTTCTTGTCTTTTCAGGACTTTTCAACAGTGCTATGAAGGCTCATGTGCTTGCCATCATGAAATAGGTTCCCACAGACTCCCATTATGTCATAGAAACTCTTTGAATAATCCCAGTCTTTAGTCAACAAATACATCAGATTGTCTTCTTACTTGAAATCCTGGAGGGCCCTCACTTCCAGCTTCACCTGGTAATCCTCGAGGTCCTGACTCACCCTTCACAAGAAATATAAATAATTTTTCAATTTGTCGTCGAAGGCTTTCACGGCCAGAATTCATAAGTTGTTGTAGATTTTCTGGGCTGTATGGCCGTGGTCTTGGCCTTGTAGTACTACAACAACTAATTTTTTAATTCTTACACAATTTTGCAAATACAAAATAGTGCTTTACTTGAGTGTGCATAGCATATTCCCCCCATTTATTTATATATTTAGGATACTTCTGGTCTTCTTTTTGGCATATACTTCCAAGGTGATTCATAATATAAGACCAATTACTGCTTCATAAAACAATGACAAAAAATGATAACTGGGGGGAATGGCTAGATCACTACAGAAAATAACTGCCCTTCCCTGCTCAGGGTGCATTGTTCAACTTGCTTTGCTAGTTCATCACCAGATGGGAATGGTCCATACCCACTCTAATGGGATTGTTCACTCTCTTGCATGGATCAATATTTTTTGCATAGTAAAATAATAGATGTATATTTGATTTCTTGACCTTTTGTTTTTAAGGAAGAGAGACAGAGACACCACAAAACCCAACAGTACCCATTGGATGCAAGAGCTGAGCCATGTCAGCCAGCAGAAAGACCTATCAATGGATTCTGCCACACCTTTAAGATTGGTCCATAAATCCCCACATGACCAGGTTAGGAAAAGAGCCAATGGGGTATCCAGGTACCATTTTTTCCAGTTCTCTCTCTCTATAAAAAGACACCCAGCCATTGTTCTTGTTCTATTCCTGACTACTGTTGAAGAATCAAGGAGGGGGACGAATCCTGGAGTTCCCCACCACCACCAGCAAGATGGTATTTTACACTGATATCCAATTAGCTAATTTTAAATGCTCTTATTTCACACACACACACACACCAACTTTTCTGCTTCTCATATCCAAATCAATTTAATTTGATTTTACGGAAATAAATTGAGCTGTCTGCACAATCCCTGCAGACCATCCAGAATTGTTAAATCAGGCTTGTAAGGAAAGAATTAATTTGATGCCCTTAGTGACTTCTCTCATTTTCCGTGTCCATCTGGCACATTCACAGTTGTCCAGAGTCCTGAATGATCAGGAAAAGGTGAAGCCATGGACACTTTTTGATCTGATGTGCCCTATGGTTGGTGGCAGACCCCCTCCCATTTCACAAAGTCTTCAATGTTTTTTGTCCCTACATTCCAACCAAGAAAGCTCCCCTGGGGACTTCCGGTCTGGCTCCCGCGAATGGCGGACGCATCCTCGGGTCGATCCCGAGGGCGTCTCGCCCGCGGGGGGGGGGAATCCGCGCAAGCGGAGACCCAGAC